CATGGCTGCTGGAAGGGACAGGCTGGGGAGGGGGGGGTGTGACTGCGGGGTGTGGGGGACAAAAGGGTTAACAGAGGTCTCGTGATCCACAGCCCCATGGGGACAGCCCTGGTGGCACAACCCCATATGGGGACAATCCCATGGGCACAGCCCCAACAGGGACAGCCCTGCTGACACAGCCACCTGTCCCACAGCCATCCTCTGGGGACAAGGACCGCTCACCCCACTGGTCCCTGTCCCAGCTCAGCAGCCCCCAAAGGATCTGTGGGCCCCTGACCCCACTGGGGCGGGTGCCCATGCCTCAGTTTCCCTGGTGCCACCATGATGGCCACCCCGCCAGCCCCGGGCAGCCACTCACAGTCATCCAGGTCGAGCAGTGAGATCTCCTTGGGGCCGGCCCTGCTGCTGGGGGGCTGCAAGGGGGCAGAGAGAAGGGAGTGGTCATGAATGGGGGGTCTTGGGGTCCCCATGCTGTCCCCCAGCCCAGCCCGGCTCTCACTGCCTTCCTCCGCTTGGTCTCTGCCTCGGAGCCTGAGTCGGAGCCTGAGGAGCTGCTCTCAGAGGCGCTGGCCTCCTCCGACGAGGTCTCGGTGCGGCTCTTCCTCCCCTGCGATGCTTTCTTCTTGGCCTTCTTTGCCCCCTCCTCCTCCTCTTCTTCCTCGCTGGGGCTGCAGGGAGAGCCCAGCTCAGGGGGGGCTGTGGTGGGGTTTGGCTGGGAGCACCCTGATTTCCCAGGGGGTACCTGCCCGCTGCCTTCCGGGAGCCTTCCTTCTCCTTTCTCTTCGTCCTCTTCTCCTCCTCCTCCTCCTTGTCCTCTGACTGCTCGCCACTGCCTTCCTCCTCCTCTTCTTCCTCCTCCTCCTCCTCCTCGCTGCCAGAGCTGGAGCTGCTGGAGCTGCTGCTGCTGCTGCCGCTCTCCTCGCTGACAGACTCGGGCTCTGTGGGGGGCACGGCTCAGCCCTGCTGCTGCGTCTCCCATGTCCCCACTGCTCCCTGCTGTGTCCCACCGCATCCCTGCATCCTCACACTGCATCATCCCCATCCTCCCGCTGCATCCCACTGCATCCTCCCGCTGCATCCCTGCATCCTCCTGCTGCATCCCTGCATCCCAGCACCGTCTGCTGCCTCCCACTGCATCCCTGCATCCCTCCACTGCACCCCCACACCTTCCCGCTGCATCCCACTGCATCCCCACAACCCCCCGCAACCCCCCACTTCCCCCCACTGCATTCCCTTGCCACATCCCTCCATGTCCCCTGTCACGTCCCCACCATGATAGGCTGTCCCGACTGCAATGTCCCCTGCCCAATGCACCACCATTGTGGCACCCGCCTGATGCCTCCATTCTGGTAGCCTCTGCCTGATGCCCCACCATGGTGGTTCCTGACCTGTGCCCCACTGTGGTGGCACTTGTCCCATGCCCCACCATGGTGGCACCTGCTTGATTCCCCATCGTGGTGGCTCCTGCCTCATGCCCCGCTGTGGTGGCACCTGTCTGATGTCCCTGCCAGAGTGACCCCTGCCCAATGCCCCACCACAGTGGCCCAGTCCTCATGTCATGCTGTGCCACCGGGTCCTCACCACTGTCTGCTGACTCCGTAGGCCCCGACTCGCCCTCCGAGTCAGAGTAGAAAGGTTTCTCCACCTTCTCCTTCCTCTTCTCCCGGCTGGTGCACTTGGTCCATTCAGGAACCTGCCAGCACAGGGTTGATGGAGTGGGGCCATCCCCCATGGGTGGGGGGGCCAAACAGCAGTCCTCACCCCCCTCCTGTCCCCAGGCAGGTATGTGGGCACCGGAGAGGGGACATGGGGCAGCTGAGCAGCACCTTAGCACCTTCTGGGGCTCTCCCAAGACCTCCATGGCCCTCCCCATGCACCCCAGCACCCTGGGATGCTCCACGTACCTCCACGTTCCTCACGGAGGGGTCAGGGGCCTCATCTGGCCAGTCAGGCAGCTCCTGGTAGCCCACAGCCTTGGCATTGAGGAGGTGGGACAGGGAGCCCAGCTGGAAATGGTCCCGATCTACAGCAGGGTGAGAGGTGGCAGCAGCTCGGGGACAGCCATGCAGCACCGTGGCGATAGCTGGCTCCGTGTCCCCGTGCCCTGTGACCAGGGGTGGGTACCTTTGAAGGAGGACTCCAAGATAGGAGCAGGTTTTTGGGCCAGGAAGAGCTTCTTGGCGTACTTGTTGAGGGCCCCACTCTTCTCAGTGGGCACGATGAGCTGGCGGATGAAGCGAGCCCGGTCACGGATGTCATAATTCTGGTCATACTTGGCCAAGTTGAGGACGTACTGGGTCAGCAGCTTGCTCTGCACCAGGGGACACAGTCAGGGCCAGCCTCTCCCTTCCCAGTGGGGAAACTGAGGCACACCGTGGGGCCGCATCCCTGGTACCTGCTTGGAGTTGGTCAGGTAGAGCTTAGCCGCCAGGTTGATGACCTGCAGCTTGACGATGTCCTCCTCGTTGGTGAAGGACTTGGCCATCTTGCGCAGCACGTCGGGCGCAATCTTGGGCACATGCTCGCAGTACTCGCCGATGAGCCACAAGATGCTGGCCCGCGCCATTGGCACCTGCAAAATGCCCCCAGGCACGTGGCACCGCTGGTACCCGCCCAGTCCTGCGGGCCACGCAACGCCCTGACCTACCTGGATGTTGTCGGTGAGCTTGGCCATGTGCTTGATGATCTCACTGTGCTGGGCTGGCTGCATCTGCAGCAGCTTTTTGATGACCACCACAGATTCAGCCACCACCAGCTCTGCGGGCAGAGACCCAGCCTCAGCGGGATCCTTCCCTGAGAGTGATGCAGCCCCTGTTTCTCCCCCACTATGTGCACTCACCATCCCGGTTGGAGAGGAGCTGAACTAGACCGTTGAGGCAGGTGTCCCGTACCTTCCCGATGTTGGTGGCACAGCGCCCGATGGCTTGGATGGTGGCTGCCACAAAGTCCTTGTCCATGCTGCGGATGTAGGTCTGCACAGGCATGGGGGGAACACACGACATGTCACCCACATGCCAGTGCTGGGCATCCCCCCATGTGGTGGTCACGCATTGGGGTCGTTGGAGCCACCCATGGGATTGACATGGCCTCAGCCCGCTTTTCCTGGTGGGGTTTTCCTCTGTCCCCTCCAGTGTGGTGTTTTGGCACCCAGAGCCATGCCAGGGCGGCACCCTGTGGCTTCAGTATGGCTATGGCATACCTGGAACTCCCTCAGGATGGTGGAGATGTTGGTCTCGTTGGCTAGGTTGGTGAGGACCTCCAGCTGTAAGAAGGAGGGAGAGATGGGCAGCACAAGGGGCATGATGCTGGGGCACTGAGTCCTTGCTGTCCTCCTGTCCCCAGGGCATGGAGGACAGCTGCCCCACAGGGAAGGGCACTATGAAGTCCCAAGGCCACCAGTGATGGGTCCTGCCAAGCATTCCCAGCTCACCTTGAGGATCTTGATCTGCGTGGGGTCCGTGGAGCGGATGTAGAAGCTCTTCAGGTAGGGCTCAAACATCCCCTGTGTGCAGAGCAAGTGGCATTACTGCCATCCCTGTCCCCACCTCACCGAGGCCACCCACAGGCAGCTGGCCTTGGTGACCGGCTGCTGGCCACCCCTCACTCCGCTCCAGAGTCAACAGAGCCACCTCCTCGCACACCGAGTCCAAGACTCACCCGCCGTTTGATGGACATAGTGGCAACATTCTGCAGCACGACATACTGCACCTCACTGTAGGGACAAAGAGGGGACCACCATCAGTGGGGCAGGGCCAGACTCCCCCCCCCCAGCCCATCCCCCTGAAGAGAAGGCAGGACCCACCATGAGGCTAGTGCCACCATGATGCCACCACTCTATGTATGGGCTGGGCCAGGCCAAAAAGCCCTCTTTTTTGACAATTTGCCCCAACCCGGTGTCCCTGCAGGGATGGGTTTTTTGGGGGGCTCTCCCAGGGTCTTGGGGCTTCACGTGGGTCCCACAATGAGGGCAGGGTAAGGGACCACTGCAGCCCAGGTGCCACAGACCTGTGACTCCGCAGGAGCCGCACCAGCGCCTTGGCGATGACACCAACCTCTGCCTTGGGTGCCAGGTGGAAGTAGAGCTGTGCCACGGCCATCACCACCTGCAGGGAGACACCCAAATGTCACCTGGGGGGGACAGGAACACCCCGGGGGCTGGCTGTGTCCCCCAGCGTCGCACCTGGCAGCACCCAGAGGAACTGGGTGACACACCAGCCCTGGGTGTCCCTCAGGCACACTGCTGGCTCCTTGGCCAGCGGGGACATCACAAGTTCAGGCTGATGGACACCACCGGTGGCCTTGAGGGATAGACAGCGCTTGGGCAAGGGGGCTCACCGCGGCGTTGCGGCTCTGCAGCAGGGGCTTGGTATTGCGCAGGAGCAAGCGGTGGTCGGGGTCCATGACGTAGGGCTTGCGCTTGGCCAGAGAGGCTGCCTCTGCCTTGGCGTCCTTGGTGTCCTCCTCCTCAGAACCGTAGAAAGCCTTTTCGGCGCTCTCCTCCAACAAGGACTCCTGCCGGTCAGGTGGGACGCCTTGCACCCCCCAACAGCACCCTCCTTCATCCTACCTCCCTGTCCCAAACTAGGTTTCCCACGGCACCCCGAGGCTCCTGGGGCACCCCAAAGCTCCAGCACTCACATTCTGATTGGGGCTGAGGAACTGGGTGCGCGCGTAGCGGGTCAGCATGTTGATGATGACCACCTGCCCCCACTCCTCCACATCGATGAGCAGGTTGCAGAGCTTGCGGTAGTTCTTGTGAATGAGGTCAATGCGCTCTGGGCAGACCTCCTCGAATGCCATCACCACACTGCCGGCCACCAGCTGGGGAGGGAAAGCCTGGTGTGACTCATCAGAGTGGTGGCATCTCCATCATGATGCCAGCTTGATGACGATGGTGGCATCCCTGTGAGGATGCCGGTTTGGTGGGGATGGTGGCATCTCCATGAGGATGCAGGCTCAGTAGGGATGGCTGCATCCCTGTGAGGATGCTGGATCAGTGGGCACGGTGGCATCTGACTTGGCAGGGACAGCTGTATCCCTTTGAGGTTGAAAGCTTGGTGGGGACAGTGGCTTCCCTGTGAGGATGCTGGTTTGTTGAGGACAGTGGCCTCCTCGTGGGGATGTCGGCTCAGTGGAGATGGTGGCATCCCTATGAGGATAGCTCGGTGGAGATGGTGGCATCTCCATGAAGATGTCAGCTCAGTGGAGATGGGGTGATCCCCACGAGGATCCTGGCTTGTTGGGGACAGCAGCATCTCCGCAAGGATGCCAGCTCTGTAGGGACGGCTGCAGCCCCATGAGAATGCCGTTTTGGTGGGGATGTCTGCATTCCCACAAGGATGCCGGATCAGTGGGAATGGTGGCATCTCCATGAGGATGCTGGCTTGGTGGGACAGCAGCATCCACTGCATGGATGGCTGCATCCCCATAAGGACACCAATTTGTTGGGGACATCTGCATCCCCATGAGGATACCAGGTCAGCGGGGATGGTGACATGCCCAGATTTAGGGTCAGAGGAGACATGGCGCCCCACTCACCGTGGTCTTGTCCGCCAGCAGCTTCTCAATCACTTCGATGAGCTGGTCCTTCTGGTCCGAGTCAAGGCTGTGAGGGAAGAGCAGGGCAGGTGTGGCCGGACCAAACTTCCTGCCTGTCCCTGCCTGCGCCAAGCAGCTGAGACCCCAGCACTGGCCCCTTACTGGTACCCCCAAAATTTAGCAGATGACCTGCCATTACCTGTACAGCTTGGGGATGGCGTGGGCGGCCGTCTTGCGCACATACGGGGACATGTCTGAGGCGGCCTCTTTGATGGCCAACATCATGATGGGCACAATGATGGGCACACGGATGCTGGAGAGGACCCGCAGGGCGCTGGCACGGATCAGCTGGTTGGGGTCCTGTGGGGACATGTTGGGGGGCCTCAGTGTGGTGTGGGGGGACTTGCTTCCCCCCAGACTCTCCCCTGGGTCCCCAAACCAGCTCACCTTGAGTCCTCGCTGGAAGGTGGAGATGGAGAGCAGGGCCAGATCCTGCTGCTCCTCTGCGTAGCGCACCAGGTAGACATACACCAGCTTCTTCACCTGTGAGGTGAAGATGATGGGACCACCTCAGAGCCCCCCAAAACCCAGCCCATCTCCAAAACCCTCCTTCCAGGGCCCCCCGAGACCTTCCTCACCTCAATATTCTTGCAGGCGACATTTTTCACCACGGCTGGGAAGAGGTCAGAGGCATTTTTTCCCCGGGCGATCATCTAGGGGGTAAAGGAGCAGTGTGACACTGGGCAGCCGGCACAGCACAGCATGGCACGGCACGGTATGGCATGGCACGGCATGGGATGGCACGGCACCAGCAGTGGTCCCCACTGGTGACAGCAACACCCACCGCCACGATCCTCTTCATGGCCTCCAGCTTGAGCGAATCCTTGTTGCTATCGAGCATCTCCTTGAGGTCATCGTGCCTACACCGTGCCGGGGAAAGGGGGGAGGGAAATTATCTCATTTTCCATTTTTAGCCATTTTTAGTCTTTTTCTTATTTTTTTTGCTCCCAGCCTGCCATCAGGCTGGCAACCCGACCCTTTGCCATGCAATATTTATGGGGACAGGAATTGGGTTACAGCCAGGTGAAAGAGGAGCCGGAGGGACCGGTGTGGTGCTGGCACACAGCTCTGTCCCCATCTCAGGCACTGGGAGAAGGACCCTGTCCCAGCCCAGCTGTGGTTGTCACTGTAGGATGTCCCCAAATTGCAGGCAACCATCGCCGGCACCATCCCAGCCACCAGCCCCGCTTGGATGGGTGTCCCTTGTCCCCTCATGGGCACGGTGGCATGGATGTGCCAGTGCACCCCAAAGCAGAGCCTGTCCCCAGTCCCTTCCCTGGGCTAGGAAAACGCCACCAGCTTTTTATAAGGCCGGCTGTCACCACTGTCCACTTTTCTAAGGGACATCCATCCCCATCAAACCAGGGAGACCTGCAAGGCTGCGTCCAGCCATAGCAGCTGGGGGTGGCCCCCACGGAACGATGCTCAGTCAGAGCCACCGTCACCAGAGGGTCCCAGGGGATCTCCTTGGAGGGGTCTTACCGTGGTGGTGGCACAGTGCTGGTGGCCACTGCAGGCTCAGGGCCAGCGAGTGGCCGCAGCTCGTCAGCTCGCAGGGCGCTGTAGCAGGCGGGCTGTCCAGCCTCGGTGGCCAGCACCGGGCTCGTCACCTCCTCGGCCGCATCACCATCCGCTGGTGTTTTTGGCTGGCCAGCCGGCCCCACCCCGAGCCCCCGCCGCCGCCCT